CTTCTATATATGCATGAATAACTATTAACCGTTGATTAGTCTAAGATCCATGCCATTCTTAGATATATTTTACCTAACAACAGTGGAGTGTTGATTTGTGGGGCCAAGGCAACACTGTACCCGTATCCGTATGGCAGATATCGATACTCATATATTGGCATGTGGTCTAAGCCGCGGCAAAATTATTCGTACTCGCTACTAAGACTCCTGATGGTTAGTGAACGCGGCCTTATACTGAGTAATAATAAAAAAAAATTAATCATTCAATATGAACTCTTAATTTGTTATTAGCCAATAAGTGCATGCACTTGTAGCATAAAATCACTGATACACGAAGAGTTCAAATAATTTCAATTAATTTGGTGGACTGATCAGATCTCGATTTAACTATACGTGCATTGACCTAAATTGATTGTCATTTCATCACAAACACCCACACATGCATCGGTCAACTTGTATCCATGGGAACACAAGGAAGTCAAACCACTGTTATGCTTAACTAATCCCATATAAAATTAGGTTTCTCCATTAGTTAATTGATTTTTTTTTCCTAAAAAAAATAGAAATGACAAATAATGGCTCGTAAGTCAAGTGGTTAAGAGTAGTATTTATATACTCAAGAGTATGTGTTCTAATTCTTCATTTCGTGGTTGAACGATGCTACAAAATAACTTATCACAATTTTCATTTGCCTTTTGAGCTAACACTAAGGTAGTGGTTGTTAGAGAGAATTAGCTTGGATATGATTACTCACTATATTAAAGGGAATTTTCGAAAGAAGAAACAACTTCCATATGTCTAAGTTGAAGGTAAAAAATTATTCCTACTATTTCCCACAAGAATAGTAGAATTATACTAAAGCAATAACTTTTTCTTCTTGAGTATCTTTAACTTAGACAAAATATTGGCATTGTCATCAATTTTTCCTTCAAAATATGTTTAAGATAATGAATTATCATATCCAAAGTGATATTTTAAATTATTTTTATTTATAAATAGAAAATTCGAACTCAAATGCAAAAGAATGGCTATACTATCTTAACAAGTAATCTAACTCAAATGTGCAACTACTGGGTAGTCTTTTAATAAAGAAAAAAAAATCATTGGTTCATAATTGAAGACAAAGCTTAGAGATGAAATTTTAACCACTGGGGTTTGAAGATACAGATATAAAATAATATACAGATATTGAAATGGACTAAGTAATGAATCTACATCCAACAACATTTTATAATATAATATAATACCAATATCGATAGTAGTATTCAAGGTTAGTTGAAGAAAAGGTCAGCCTTAATCCTCTATAAATCGGCCTCGTTTCTCAAGTCCATAACACATGCATATTATCGATTACAAAGTATTCATACATACTTTTTTCCTTTAGCGACCTTATTGTTGTCCTACTTAGCCAGCTATACCAAATTTACGAAATGGCTGCTGCCAACGCCCACCACCTTCACTCAGTATCAAAAATTGGGATTATAGGGGCTGGTATTAGCGGAATCGCCGCCACTAAACAGCTTTTAGGACACAATCCGGTGGTCTTTGAGGCCACTGATTCCATCGGGGGTGTTTGGAAACAATGTTCTTACAATTCTACGAAACTCCAAAGCCCTCGTTGCAATTTCGAGTTTTCTGACTACCCTTGGGCTGAGAGAGACAATTCATCTTTCCCTTCTCATGTAGAGGTTTTGGAGTACTTGCATGGCTATGCCACACACTTTGACCTATTGAAATATGTCAAGTTTGAGTCCAAAGTGGTGGAAATACGTTATGTTGGTGGTATTGATGACCATCAAACCATCACCCAACTTCCCATGAATTCAATCTCCGGGGAGTATGGTAGCCTTTTGAGTGGCCATCCTGTTTGGGAGGTCGCTGTTCAGATGTCCAACATTCCAAACATCATTCAGGTTGTTTTTTCTGTAGATTTGATTTTACTCAAGTTTTAGTCATAATGTTCACGCATAATCCTTGATTAATTCTCTGAAAACAAAGCATGACTCTTAAATATGATGATATCCGCTATCAATATGAACTTCTATATATGTATTAAGTAGTTAAGCATTAGTATTATAGGTGATCAGTGTTGTACAATCATATCCAATTCATTGATCACATTATTGTTGATTACATCTCTCACATGTTTAACGTAGTATTCATTGAAAATTTTATGTACACATAATCCACCTTATGCTAGTAAATGTTACACATAAACATGTGTAACTTTTAGTTATTAAGCCTTAGTAATATTCGTTAGTTCTTAGCTAATTGTTCGTACTTTATTTTGGACCTAGCAGTGGTATGCATTCGAGTTCATCGTAGTTTGCATTGGGAAAATATGGAGACATACCAAGAATGCCGAGTTTCCCGCGCAACAAAGGTCAAGAAGTATTTCAAGGCAAAGTCTTGCACTCCATGGATTACTCCAAGCTTGACCAACGAGCAGCTCGTGAGCTCCTCAAAGGCAAGAAAGGTTGCAGTTATTGGCTACAAGAAGTCAGCTATTGACGTGGCAGTTGAGTGCGCAGAGGCAAACCAAGGTATATATAAAATAGAAAAATCTGATCCGAAATTCTCTAATCATATTATTAAATTCCAAAAACATTACAAAACCTAATTAACAATGATGCCGGACCCCATATTTCTTCACTTCAGGAGACAGATATGGTCAGCCTAGGTGGGAACTGTCAGTGTGAAAAGTAACATAAGCAACATAGATTATGTACTAAACTCAAGTTGACCACACGTTATCCGTTTTACCGATCGTAGCTTGCTTTGAGGCTTAAGCACCTACTTTAATTAGCCCTTACCCATAACGAGCATCAATTTATAGTACACCATGACCACTTCAGATAAAATAAAATCATTGTAACAATATTAATTTGGATGCATTGAAACAAATTTGTGATATCTATCGACATTTAAAAGAGAAATATTACAAAACTTAGAGCTAATTAGTAAATTTTTTTTTCATACATGCAATCAAGCGAGCTTATTCAAATATAATGCTCTAAATCATTGAAACATGACATTTTGGTTTGCTTTCTTTTTTATTGTGGTGAATTCAAGGACCCGATGGGGAGGCATGCACAATGGTGATAAGGACTCCACATTGGACCGTTCCATCTTACTGGATTTGGGGGCTTCCATTTTTCCTCTTTTTTTTCGACAAGGTCTTCTCAATTCCTCCACGAAAGGCCAAACCAGAGCTTATTCCGAGCCTTGTTTTGCCTTCTTTCATCGCCTATGGTAAATTCCATGTTTCTTAACACACTAATTTAACACCCTAGTACTACTCTTAATTATATATGTACTTGCTAGTTATTCGTTTACTAACTATATTGCTACTTGTTTTTTTAACCAGAGGATGATAATTTCCAAAGTTCATAGAGTCGTACTTGGAGTGGAAGCTTCCCCTTGTGAAGTATGGACTAAAGCCTGATCATCCATTTTTGGAGGACTATGCTTCATGCCAGATGGCTATTTTACCCCAGAAATTTCTTCGCCGAGGCAGACAAGGGCAAAATATTGTTCAAAAGGTCATCAAAGTTGTGGTTTTGGAGCGGAGGAATTGAATTTGAAGACAATACCAAATTGCAGGCTGATGTTGTGCTTCTTGCAACTGGCTATGAGGGAAAGCAAAAGCTCCAATCCATATTGCCTGAGCCTTTCCGCAGCCTCATGGTTGACTCCTCTGGCACTATGCCCTTGTATAGGTGAACCCTAATTACTTGTCAAATATTTGACATGTTATATATTTTTTCTGCTAACATGACACACTCCATTTTATTTTAAATTGAGATTGTATTGTTATGTTGTCAAATTGTCAAATCTGATACAAACCCATTTTATTAATAGTTGAGATTGACAATACAATTTACATAACATGTCAAGTAGTATGAACAAAATACAGCTTTGAGATTAAACCAAAGTTGTAGGTACCCTTATATTTTTAACTGAATTACTCACAAGTGGTAGTGTGTACATATAAAATATGTAACTAATTGTATAATGATTGTACATGCTATTTCAGGGGTACGATTCATCCATTGATTCCCAATATGGCATTTGTGGGATTCGTAGAGAGTGTTTCTAACCTGCAGACAGCAGAGTTGAGGTGCAAATGGCTAGGAAGATTGGTTGACAACAAATTCAAGCTTCCCACTGTCCAAAAAATGCTTGAACAGATAGGCAGAGAGATTGAAGTGATGAAGAAGACGACCCGATTTTACAAGAGGCACTGCATTTCAACTTTCAGTATCAACCACAGCGACGACATTTGTGAAGAGATGGGATGGAAATCTTGGCGGAAAAGTAACTGGCTTTCAGAAGCTTTTAGCCCCTATAACAGCCGAGACTACGAAGAAGAAGATTAAAACCGAAACATGCAATTTGCACTACAAAGTGGGCAAAGTTTGTTTTAAAGCGTCAATATCAGCTCCCTTTCAAATTTTATTAATGTAACTAGCGCAGCTATTCGTACGTTCGGGGAGTTAGGCTCTTAAGCGCCCCACATGCTGGTTTAAGCATTTCTTTTTCATATTCATATTATTTATAATAAAGCTGTGTTTAGATGTTTGTTCAATAAAATAATAAAATTATGCTTTTGTCATTATATTGCTATATACAAATCTCATATTGTTAAAAAAAAAAAAATCTCATAAATCATTGGCTCACACACAGAGAGCAGCCCATGGAAATTAAATCTTCTAAATATATTATATGATGCAATAGCCCTGAAACCTACAAAAACTGAAGATTTAATTGAGGAAAGATTTGTAAAAGTTTCCAATATATCAAGCCAATAAAAGAGATAAAGGCATACTCCTTTCTTACTCCATTATTTTACTCTATGGCCTGCCTAATATATTTTTTTGCAAGCCTTAATACTCAAAGGTGAAAAGGAGACCGAAAAGAAAAAAAAGTATTTAAAGAATTAATAAACAAAAAAAGAGCCAAAGATTTGATTAATAAAAACACATCAATCCTTGTCATGCTCAGGCTAACCACTCCCCGTCAACACCTTCAATTTCTCCAATGTCCATGCTACAAGAAAATGAACATTAGTTAAACTTATCAAATTGCGTTTTTTAATTGTACGGCCATGTAATAATATGGATTTCACTAAGTAAAAGTAACAACCAATTATTCAAAGAAGTGAAAATAATTTCTCTAATTTAGTCAAACTAATGGTAATGCTAGATACACTAAAATTTTAAACTAAATTTGCAATTAATGTGTCGTCAATAGGAAATAAGCATGTTAATCAACATTTAAGTAATAATTCAATCATCAACAACCACATCAAATGATTTATAAAGTTTAGTTTAAAATTGGGTGCATTTTGCTTACCGCCATAAACTATGATGTATGCTCACCATACACCTCATCATCTGACACGTGTCATTTTACTTAACCATTGTTTTTTTTTTCTTTTCAAATTGGAAAATAAATATTTAATAGTAAAAGTTAATCAAAATTAGTTGGAAAGACACGTTAGATAATGAGGTGTATGATGAGTATACACCATAGTTATAATGATAATAAAAATATTCTTTAAAAATTTAATTGCCCTAGCATTACCCGTCAAACTAATGCAGCCATCAAAGAAAAAGCCTATGACTAGCTTACATGGGCATGTAGACTTGAACAAAAATTCCATTGGGCTAAGGCTCACAAGTTTGATAATTTTATGCCCTTGTGCTTTACGTTCATTTTTTTTATACAACAATATTTTATAATACAGAGTAAAAAATAAATTATTATCAAGCTCATTATTTACAAAATTCGAGTCTAACTCCTCTTATTTAATACTTTTATACCATAATAGTAAGTGGCTTGAAAAATTTCTACCATTTCTCGCTCAAACTGAAGGCCTTAACATACTCGTACTTTCATAATTAAACTCACACAGCTCTCGGCAAAGCTTTTTTGGTCAGAAGGGAAAAAAACCTCTCAATTGATCAAGCTGACTAGAAAAATGAAAAAAACGAAGCTGATGAGAGACAACAAAACCCGTGGCAACAACACGTTCTCTTCGCCTCCCTCGTATTTTAATGGCTAGCTCTACGAATGACAGCAACTTCGATCCAAAAAAAAAAAAATCCAATTTACTAATTTTCAGAAAAATCCAAGATGGAACAGATTTTAATCATACAATCACTCACTCACAATATTTTCAATTCAGAAGAAAAAAAAGAAAAAGAAATGGAGATGAAAAGATAAAAACAGTTTTCCGAGTTTGCAAAAAATCTGTTGGGTTCTTACCAAGGCAAGGCAGGATCTTGAAAATAGTCGCCTGAGTAGCAAGCATTCAAATGATCATTCTGAAAACAGCTCTCATTTGCATTCAACCAGGCTGGAAGTTCCATGACTTCATCAAACGGATGGTGGTATCCATCGCCATCGTCCTCATCCTTCACTTGTGGGCCCCCACGGAGCTCCACAGCCTTCAAAAACTTAAACCACCATGCTGACGTGACCAAGTTCATGGTGTCGTTCCACTCCATCTGGTGCTGCTCCCCTATCGATCTGATCTCCGCCATCTCCTCGTCGTCGATTGCTGCATGCATGCCATCTCCGCCACTGATTGTGATAACCCCAGCGGAGTCAACAGCATCAGCCACCGCAGGAGCATCCTCCGCCTCAATATGGAAAGAGGAAGAGGCTCCTGCAGCTGAGAGAATTTCAGGATCGGTAGTGGCAGCAGAGAGAGTGGGGGAAGAAGAAGACGAGGGAGACGAGGCGGAGGTGGAGAAAATTGACGGGCTGTTGGTGTTGTGGTAAAGGGTTGTGTTTATGTTGTTGAAATCTTGGAAGTTGAGGTTGAGGCCAAGGGTTTGGTTTGGAAGTGTGAAATCAAAATTTTCGTAAGGTAGTGGAGGTGCAATTGTGGAATGAGTCCAAGAATATGGATTTGAATATTGACTTGGGTTTGGATATTGGAATGAAAAATCAGATGAGAAGGGCGGAGTTTCCTGATAATTTGACGTGCTTGACGGGTAAATCCCAGGGTTTCTCCTCAATTCGATCCTTGCTTCTTGTTCGGAGCGAGGTCGGGATTGTGGCTCAAGTGCTTGTTGGTCTTGTTGTTGCTGTTGTTCACTGGCTTGTTTCATAGCTGCCCTATGAAACTTGAGAGCAGTAACAATCTCTCTCCTAGCCTCAGCCATGTTCAAAAGCCTCTCTTGGTAGGGCCTGCTGGTGTGGAGTCTCCGCCTCACTTGTTTTTTGTGTTGTTGAGGCTGGTGGGGTTTCTGGGTTTCTCCAAATTTTTTGTTGCCAAATTTGGCAGTGTTGTGGCTTGAGATACCATCGCAGCCCAGTGCGATGTCCTGGTTGGGATTCATGGGCTCTTTGGTTCTTGAAGAGGTGAGTTGTTTCATTAGGCTACGGATGTAAGCACCAGAGAGATTATGAGGCTCCTCTTTGAGCTTACTGCGTTTATCTAATTCCATTAATTGTTTGGTTTTTTAGTTTTGAGGATCGACTCAGCTGCCTCATCTCTCTCACAAATTTTAGCTGCAAATAGTGGGAAATGTAGGAGGTGGGTGGGTTGAGTGAATCATGGTGTTTTCCTAAATTCTGAAGAACAAAGTACACACTGTACAGATAAGCACAGGTTGATCCGGAGAAGTCCGGAGGTGCTCTTGGGTGTTATAAATAGCTGGGGACAGTCTAGTGTTTTTAAATTTTCTTGGATTTTTCTCTGATTTGGCAAACCTCTCATTTGTTACAGTTTTATTAAGGATAAATTAGGTTCCATCCTCGTTTTCTCTTTTCCCATTAGTTAAAGGTAATTGTTATTAGCACTCCAAAAATCTCATTTGGCACTCCAAACTTTCTATAATTAGAAAGGAAAATACACTTGTGAGAAGTGTAGAATGAAATTTTTGGAGTGCTAATAACAATTCCCTAGTTAAAATATGATATCTTTTTTTTTCAAGGTCTTTTGAATTTTATCCTCGTCACTACTGAAATATTAAATGAGTTATATATAATGCAAGTAATTTTTATTAACACTTCAAAAATTTAGTTGTGTACAATAATTCCCTAATGCAAATTAAGCTAGTAGGTCAAGATGAATTTTTTAATCTTAAGTTGTATATTTATTTTCGTAGGGTAATGCTAGGAATACCAAATTTTTAAACCAAATGACATGGATGTTGATGATTGGATTGTTAGTTAAGTATTGATTAACGTGTTTATATCTTATTAGTGACACATCATTTGGTTTATAAATTTGGTCTCCTAGCATTATCTTCTTTCTTATTACTTGACATATGTGAATAAAAATAGACACTAAAATATTTAAAAATAATAATAAAAATACAAGGCACACTCTACCACTAAATCGTCACAACAGTACTAAAGAAATCACAAATGAAGAAATCAATGGAAGCAAGAAAGGCTCGAAAAACTTATAGAGAGAAAGAGAAATGAGAGTTTGTTATTTTCTGAAATGATTTACCACACTTCTTACATTGTTATCTCAGCATATATATAGCTTGAGAATACAACAGATTATCCTAACCATTCTAACTACCTTGATAGAGTAGTTATAACAGTAATAACCATATCTGCCATGTCATCAAGTCATTTGCTATAGTCAACACCCCTCTCTCGCAGCTAGGATTTCCTAGTTGCATATTGTAACAATGCTTAGCAAACAAAGGACTATGTAGACCTTTTGTCCAAATATCAGTTGTTTGATCATCCGTTGGAACATACACTACTTCCAAATCTCCTTGTTGAACTCTTTCTCGCACGAGATGATAATTGGTGTCCAGATGTTTTATCCTATAATGAAACACTGGATTTGCACTCAGTGATATTGCATACATGTTATCACATTGAATTAGAGGATGATTAGGAAGAAATACATCCAGGTTTTTCAAAATATATCTCACCCAACTAATGTCTGCAGCAGTATGTGTAAGAGCTTTGTACTCGGCTTCTGTTAAGCTTCTTAAAACTGAGTTTTGCTTCTTTGATTGCCAAGATATAGGGTTATTTCCCAGAAAAACAACATACCATGTCACTGATCTTTATGTATTAAGGTCTGCAGCCCAATTTGCATCTGATAATGCATTCAAATTCATTTCTACATTTGCTGAATAACAAATTCCAGACTGAATTGTCCCTTGAAGATATCTTAATATCTGCTTTACTACCCCCAAAATGTACCTCAATTGGTGTAGTCATGAATTGACACACTAATTTACTGCAAATGCAATATCTAGTCGTGTGAAAGTCAAGTATTGTAGAGATCTAACTATACTTTAATAAGTGCTAAGATCTTGTAAGGGATTGCCTTCAGTCATAAGCATTGAGGTATGAGGCTTGCAAGGTGTTGTTGCAGGCTTACAAGATTTCAAACATGCCTTATGAATAAGATCTTTGATGTATTTAGCTTGATTCACAAAGATATCTCCATTCTCTTTGTATTGTATTTGTAGACCAAGAAAGAATGTGAGTTTTCCCAGATCCTTTAAATCAAAGCCTTCAGATAGTTCTTGAACAACCCGATTAATCCTCAAATTATTTAAGCCTGTGAGGATTATGTCATCCATATATAACAACAATATAACAATGTATGAACCATCATTCCTCATGAACAAGCTTGTATTAGATAAGGATGCATGAAACCTCATTGCAAGAAGGTAACCTGTGAACTTGGAGTTCCAAGCTCTTGGTGCCTGTTTTAAATCATATAAAGACTTTATCAGTTTACAAACATGATTAGGGTAGTTAGGATCAACAAACCCTTGTGGTTGTTTCATGTAAATATCCTCTTGCAAGTCCCTATGGAGAAAGGTATTTTTGAAGTCTAGTTGCTTTAAATCCCAATGACTTGTTGCAGCAATAGCTAAAATAATTCTTACTGGTGTATGTCTCACAACAGGACTGAAGGTTTCTGAATAATTCACACCATGTTCTTGTGAATAGCCTTGTGCAACTAGTTTTGACTTAAACCTTGGAACACTGTCATTGGGGTTCTTCACTTTATAAACCTATTTACTCCCCACAATTGCTCTGTCATTAGGCATAGGAACCAAACTCCATGTCCCTTGTGCTCTTAAAGAATCATACTCCTCTTTCATAGCTTGCAGTCACTGTGGTATGCTAGAAGCTTTTCTAAAGCTTGATGGCTCTGCCATATCAGTATTTTGTGTAACAAAAGAGAAACCCCCTGTGAATAGTTCTTATTCACTTAATTGTAATGATTGCAGCTCTGGAAATGTAGCTAGTAAAGCTACATAATTCTTATCTCAATTGCTCCACTCTTCAATCTTGTTGTCATGGGATGATTTGAAACAGAATTTATCACAAAGGTTGAAATAGCACTAGTATTGTTATCATGAGTTATTACCTCTAACTGGGAACTGTGATGGATAGGCATCAAGGGTGACATTGTTGAATCTGGAATAGAGTGATGATGATGAGGAATTCTATTTTCTAAAGAATCTTACATTTCTGAAGAACCAGAACTATATGAACTTGATTGTTGTTGAGCATTTGATATAATCATAGCCTGAGTTTCTTGAGAATTCCAGAGTATGATATGGATACATCATTGCCACTTGGGATTGGTAACTGAACCATAACCATAGGTTATCTAGAACACTGTGAATGTGACATACTATTTGCTTCTGAAACAGATTTCTTTTTACATAGACACACTGTCTCATCATGAATCACATGCCTAGATAATATCAGCCTCTCATTCTCCCCATTATAACATATTACCCCTTTATATCCAGCAGCACATTGAAGAAAAACACTCTAAGTTGACCTAAATTGTAACTTGTTGGCATTAAAAGGTCTAAGAAATGGATACACAGATGTTCCAAAATTTTTGAAATGATTAACTTCAGGTACTCTTCCAAACAAACACTGATAAGGAGACTTCATTTCAAATACTTTGCATGACATTCTGTTAATCAACAAAGTTGCATGAGCACATGCATGATACCAAAACTTTGGTGCTAGATTAGCTTCTGCCATAAGTGTGATGGCACTTTCCATAACATGCCTGTTTTTCCTCTCAGCAAGACCATTCTGCTGAGAGGTATATGGACATGAAACCATGTGTTTAATTCCTTTATTTGCCAAGAAATCTTTAAACATTTTACTCATAAACTCTCCTCCACCATCAGATTGAAAACACTTAATGGATGCATTAAATTGAGTTGATACAAATGCATGAAACTTCACAAAAATAGCAAAAGCATCTGATTTATTTATTTATTTATTTTTGGAAAACAAGCATGCGATTTATAAACCATGGGAAAAACCCACATCAATCTTGAATATTCATCTACAAAATTCATATACTATCTATACCCCTTTATAGACTTTGTTAGAGATGGACCCCATACATTAGAGTGAATCTTATCAAACATATTTCTAACCTTATCATGTTTTACAGGAAATGGTTGTCTACTTATTTTGCCTTTGATACAAGATTGACACATAGACATACTTGAACTAAGATATGTACTAACAGATATACTTGAAGCTTTAATCATAGTAGCTAATATCTCCTCAGATGGATGTCCAAGCCTCTGGTGCCAAACTGAAGCTTGAACCTTCTTTCTCAGAAAAGCAGCACAATTACTCAACTTTGCAGCAAAACCATTTGAAAATGTATTGACTGGTATCTTCAACAATTCTCCATCATCACTCATTCCTTGGTATAAAATCACTCTTGTGGCCTTGTCTTGTATAAAAAAGTTCACATCATCACAAATAAACCAGCAAGCATTGTCCTTACATAATTTCTTAACTGACAGTAAATTAACAGTGATTGTAGGCACATGTAAAACATTGTGTAATATGAAGGAATGATGTGATGATGGAGAAATAATTGAGGAGCTTATATGCTTGACTATCAAACCTTCCCCATTTCTAATTATGATATTTTCATTCCTATTGTATGTGGTGGCTTGATTGAGATTATTAACATTGGCTGTCATATGATGGGTAGCTCATGTATCCATGGTCCAGGTATCAGCTGTAGAAAAACCATGACCATTTGATGTAGGTCCTTGTTGCTCAAAATTACCCTGTGTAGTCATTGCAATCAATGAATGAAGTGGTGAAGTCCCTTGATGAAATTATTCCTATGGTAGCATTCCAATGCAATATAACCTCTTTTTTTCCACATATTTGACACACTATAAACCCTAGAGAAGAGCCACCATTATCAGTTCTATAGTAACAATTAGGTGCAGTGTGACCCTTTCTTGAACAGATTTGACATTCTAGAGAACTTCTAGACTTGTAACCTGTGTTACCATTCCAATGACTGCCTTTTGTACCCTCATTTCCAGAGAAAAAACCATTATTCCCAAAGTATAAACCTCCAAAATTAGAATTGCCATTGTGAGACTGTTTGTCAGTACCGGAGAAATGTGCACTGTTGTTGTCATCCATATTTCCATTTATGTTGCCAAAATTTCCATTACCAGAATACTGTTTTGAATTAGGATTCCCATTATTGAATCTCTATTGTTACCAGAGAAATTCCCTCTTTGTTGATAAGACCTATTTCCATTGCTAACATATCCATTTCCTCCTTGAAAACCAAAATGATCTCCATTATAATCTTGTTGACTTCTCTAAGTATTAGAACTTTCTCCATGTTCATATTACCCTTGAAATCTCTGAGAACTAGATCATTCTCCCTATACCACCATTGTAGACATGGACGTACTCAGTGAATGCATTCTTGATTCAATACTTATTTCGGCCCTAATCAGTTGTGCTTGAAAATCTTTCAAAGACATAGTTGTTTCTCTAGTAAGAATCATTGTCTTGATTATCTCAAACTCAGCAAGTCGTCATGATAGCACATCAATCATATAGACCTTTTCACCAGTAGAAATGAGCTAATCCCTTATAACCTTCAATTTTAACATAAACTTCTCAACAGATTCTCCACCCTTTTACTCAGTCTTCAATTGATTAATTTGAACCATAGAAATAGATGCAAACTTGTCCTACAGGCATGTTCATGCTTCTTGGGAAGTCTTACACCTAATGACATACTTCATGACATCATCAGACAGAGTTGCAATCAATAAACTGAGCAATGCCAAATCTTTCTTTACCCAATTCTTATATGTTGCTGTGATTTCTTTTGTAACACCAGTTTCTATATTGATTACAAACTTTGGAGGACAAGGTGATTCCCCTGTAAAGTAATCAAACATATCATATCCCCTTAGCACCGATTGGAATTGATAACTCCACTTAACAAAATTATCATCTTGGAGTTTCACTATAAGCATACCCAATAATCCTTCAATCTTCACATACTCAAACATTGTTGAACACCAAGAAAATGTATTACAAACCAAGCACAAGAGATTCCTAGAAAATTCCTTCAAACAAACTTCTGAATAACACTACACTTCAGCTTCGGCCTTATGAAATGCAGAAAAACCTAGAAAAACTACAGAAAACTTTTGAATGTTCCTTGCAACTTTGGCTTCGGCCTTTGAATGTTCCTTGCAACTTTGGCATCGGCCTTTAATTCATCAAGAAAATATATGCGAAACCCTGAAATTTTCTCACTTAGACATTTAATCAAACATTTGATAGACATAAAAATCAGAGAACAAGAACTGATGAACCTGAGAAAATCTACAACCTTGAACTTCAAAAACACTAAAATCTTGAACGCGTGAGATGAATGCACCCAGAAATCCTTTCAGGAAGCACAACGGAAAGCGATCCTAGGATCATACCTCGGCAAATGATACCATCATAACAGTACTAAAGAAATCACAAATGAAGAAATCAATAAAGAAATCACAAATGAAGAAATCAATAAAGAAATCACAAATGAAGAAATCAATGGAAGCAAGAAAGGCTCGAAAGCTTAGAGAGAGAAAGAGAAATGAGAGTTTGTTATTTTCTGAAATGATTTTCCACACTTCTTACATTGTTATCTCAGCATATATATAGCTTGAGAATACTAACAGATTATCCTAACCATTCTAACTACCTTGACCCAACACTTATAACAATAATAACCACAGGTGCCATGTCATCAATCTTTAACTGCAAATCTACCATGTCATCTGTTAGCTGCCAAGTCATCAAGTCATCTACTATAGTCAACAAATAGGTCATAATTCTTACCCTCAAGTGATATAGAATTATGTGCTAAGTCGTTTATGAATCTTGGCTCAAGTGACTTGAAATGAATAAGAAAAAGATACAAATCCTACATTGGAATCGTCGTATAAATTTAGAGAAATGAGAATAATAAGCTTGTTAATACTCATTAAATCAACACTAAGATAGAATCAAAATCTATTCCAAATTATTGTCAGTGGATGGAAGCCTAGCAGAACAAATTCTGATGTGAAAGCGATGGCCATATAAATTCGACCATATCTTTATGCAGCGATATTTGCCGTGCACAACTAGGACATTGCTCGAAATATATATATAGCCTACTCACTCGAAAATGTTTATTTTTCACAAATTGATTTTTGGATATTTTGGACGATTGTCCATGAAAATGATAGCAGATGGAGTTGGCATGCATGCATGCAACACCAGGACACAAATTCACACAATATATATATATATATATGCAAGCCACGGTCCATAGACAGACACCTCCGTAACAATTGTTGTATAACGTATGCTAGTAAATAATCCGTAAGAGAAAATAAGAAAAATGTAGAAGCAAAAGGAGAAAAGAGAACTCAAATTCAATTGAAATCAGTAAGTAGAGTATATACTATGTTTGGATTAGAAGTTTTAAGAAATTATAGTTTTAATTGTCAACATTGCACTCCAAAAAACAACTAGAAAGTCATTGCAAAGAAGCTAAACAAAGGACTTTCTAAATGACACCTTACAAGTTCCCTAAAAAGTATTGCATATATCCGGTTTCAGTTCTCTCCATCTTAACTTTTATAATGCATTCTTAACCAATTTGATCGAAGTTTCATACAATTTCAAAGTCCTTCGTCTAAATGCACGTATACTGGATGATCATTGGTACTGTAATTTTTCTAGTAATTAACTCAAGACATTAAGGACAGACACTTTAGGCATAAAACAATTGGATGGTGTTCTAGTATATCTTGTCTGCAAGTAAAACGGGACCAGGTTCTAAAAACGTCACAGCAGAAGCCTACACAAAGATTGACAGAAGAATCTCCACTACCGTTCTAACCTTCCTATTATAAATTTCTGGTTTTTGGTGGAGAAAGGAAACCATATAAATTTTCTGTTTTAAACAAGTTGTTCAACTTGATTTGAATCTGTTTATGAAACAAAGAACTTGGACCTCTTGGCTTTTGCAAAGGCATGCCACAGCATGTTACAGACAGAAATTCTCCATACCTCTCTCTTATCTCTCCCTCAAAACCTTCTCTTAAATTATTAGTTCTTTCTTTTCACTTGTTACTGCCTTTTCTAATCAACTTTTTCACTGTCATTCTTTACTCTAATTGGTGGTGACGAGACATGGCTGCTGTGCTGTATCTCATATAAGAGTTTACCAGAAGCCGTTGTTGGGACTTAAAAAGGCTTCACTACTTTGGAGATGTTTATCTCACAAAGAAGAATGAAATGCAGCGGAATTGATAGGCAAGAGAAAGAACACTCAAAGTGTTATACAAAATTTTTTATTCTCACACAAACTTAGTACAAGAGGAAACACTCTCACACTTCTTGCTCTCTTACTTGCTCTCACTTCTTCTTAGTTCTTACTTCACAACACACACACATACCTATATTTATAGGCATACTTTGCCGACTTATACATTCACTAGAATTTTCTAGCGCATTGATCATGCACACTTTTCCAATTTCAGCCAATATGTTTCTAGATTCTACCACAAACAAAAACATTTTATATTTTCTTAAGCATAAGGCGGTGGACTTGACTATACCACCAATTGCTGCACTTTGCTAGAGTTTTCTAGCATATCACTTCACCGATAACCTTTTGCTAGCATTTTCTAGCACATTTCATGAGTTTTCTATGGGCTGGATCATATTCTTAGGCTAAGAACAAGATTACATTTCAATAGCCGTGACAGCGGGGAAAAATAATTTTTCCCCATATCTTTTTTTATTTAGTTTTTGGATTAAACAAAATAAAGGAGAACTAAGGACTAAATTAAGAGAGATATGCGTAAAGTGAAATAAAGTGTGTATAAATCACTTTATATTACAACGAAAATGAAGTTTGATAGAAACTTAATTACATCTGAAATATCAGTCATATAATATATCATAATAGGCACCTGAGATATCATGATGCCAATAATACATCATAAGTTGAGATATCATATCTCGTATGAAAATTATTCTCGACATAGATAATTTAACAAATCAACAATACATAGTAGATATAGATCTTTTCAAAATCCTACACTGACAATGTCTGCTCTAAACACTATGCTATAGACTGAGAAAGTTTTTTAAACTAGAAGTTATAATTGTTAAATCCACAAGGAGAGGGAAGACATCCTCATATGATATCTGTTCAAATAGTCCCTTAAATTGTTTGACTATGTCAGAAATGTCTGCCAGACTATATGCATAAAGAGCAACAATGTAAACAGATGGGTGTGGCAGCAAGTTTTCATCTAAACTGAGTGAAAACCAATTGAAAGACTGCAAATATTTTAAAATCAGCTATTTTTTTTTTCTTTCAATATACTTATATATCTTAGTTACCATGAATTTTATGATGTATAGCCACCAAAATTCTAATGTATACCATCACGAAAAGCAGTTTTTGAGTAGTATATATGGTTCTAAATAAAATGCAATCATCCAAGTAGATCATTTGACAAGCTTCTGACTAGCTAGCAAAATTTATAGGGTCATTCCAAATGTAAATTATGCCACAGAGGCTAAAATTGATCTCCACATGGTGTTTTCATGATTGGAACATAGCAAATCTTGCCATAGAAATGGGAAAGGATCCTCTCCTGATCCCTTCCTCCTAATCCATTAAGTTCGGGAATCCAGACTATTGAAATTTGATCTAACGACTAAAATTATTATAACTTTTAAAGCGGGCATCTGTTTGTAATCGTTGGATCAAATTTCAATAGTTCGGATCGTCGAACTTGGTGGATTAGGTAGAAAAAATCTAGAGAGAAGCATTTTCCATAGAAATAAATATAAATATGCTACGCAAGCACTAACGTCACTAAATAAAATAAAAAATCATTAATTCCAACAAGTGTGCTAGTTTACCACTTTTCTAAACAAAATAGAAACTTGGAGTAAGTCAAACCTCTAACTTTTAACAAATATAAATCAAACTAAATATCATCTTGGAGCAAAATACTTCAGCAGATGATTAATTCACAAACAAATGAGATGGATTAACAATAATTGTTATGGTAAAAAAGATACGCATGATACAGATAGATCAGCAAACTATATCAGAAGGTAACTTAGAAGAACAACATCAGATGATTTACAAGTGTACAGGGACATGAGTGGCATAAAAAATTCGGAATAATAAAAAAATAAAATGCATAATATATAAGAAGGTATGAAGGTGGGAGAGAGAGAGAGAGAGAGAGAGAGAGAGAGAAACAGGCCTTTTGCTCTGCGGTGTTCTGTGGATAACATCAGAGTTGAATGGGTGGATGGATGGATACATGTGGGCTTTTGATTACTTGATGAGTTTTTTTTTTCTGATAAAATCAAAGACAAGCAGCCAGCTTCCACCAATCCCCTCGCGTAGCAGCAGGTGCAGTTGTCTTCGAGATAAAATCACAAAACAGATGGCTTTTGACGAATCACATTCACCCACCAAAACCCTAACCAACCGCCTCACACCTCTCTCTCTCTCTCTCTCTCTCTCACTGGGGATTCCATTCATTTCACATTTCACACCGCTGTGTTTTTGAGAGAAAATAAAACTTCTTATCTCTTGAGAGTCAAATGGTAACATCAGCTCTAGTTTTTATATTACCCTTTTAGGTTTTACACGAAAAAGAACTCGCACTTGTGCAATCCATTCATACCCACTAGTAGCTCAGTTTTTTTTGTCTGCCCTTACTGCAGTCACTGCAGCAAAGGCATTTGATTTGGAGGCCCCTGCTGGTCGTGCCATTTTCTCTCTGCCCTCTCGTTATCCTATTAACAAAGATATATATAACCCCTCAAGTCTGAATTAGGGTTGTAGGCTGTACGCTGGACTTGACTGCCTTGTAGTATTAAATAAGGACCTAACTCTTGCCGACAATGGACCCAAATTAATATCATTTCAAAGAGAAATCTATCTGTACATGTAATTGGGTAGAAACAGTATAAGGTAAATGTCAGTCACAATCACCGTGCAGTGATGGAACTAGGGTTTTAATATGGATTGGGCATGGCCTAGAACACAGTAAAAAGTTTGTGTGACCCTATCACCATCATGCAATTTTGTGATTGTAATTCATATCATTCAATTCTACAGTTTATTGATAAGTTTTAAAAGTGTAAATTTTGATGAGTAATACCAGGGAGGTAAAAAATATAAACTCACTGATAAGTAATAAGCACATTAATCAGCATTTAAATATTAATTTAATTATTAATAATCACGTTATTTGATTTATAAAATTTGTTCTCTCTAACATTATCTAATTTTGACTTTAGGTTCGACTCTTGTTGATAAAAATTAAAATACTAATTTATTATAGCCAGTTCATTATTTGATTTTGCCCAAATCTCCTAGACCTCAATGCAATTACATAAAAAAATTGAGACTCAAATTTACATAAGAGAACGAAATTTTTGGGTGACCGTGAGTTATACAACCCAGCCATGGACTAGTTCTGCCCTTGGTCATCCACATGTGCATATATAGGCGACATAAGAATAAGTAATTCTCAAAATCACTCACATGTGCATAAGCACCGTTAGAATTATAGCAAGAGCAATTACGGTAGGAGTGGACTTGATAATTGACAAACAATACTAGCAATGCTCGAATGATAATATTCTACGTAAATTGCTCTTAAACATCAATGTCGTTTCAAATTATTGTTCAAGAAACAAGGTTGTAGTCAAATCGTAGCTCAAATCATTAAGAATTCTTGCTCTTTTCTTTCTTCAATATCACTTATGAAAAAGAATTGAATAATCTCCTCAATTCCTTAGTAGTATATCCAAAATTTACAATATTTTCTGTACCTTTTTCCCCTCTCCACGAAGAAAGTGTGGAACCGTGGAGGTGCACAACGCATTACGGAAATTTTTCTCAGCTTAAAGAACGGTGGGACCGCCCGTGAAGGCACTGACGGGTATGATGTGACGGATCGTAATCAAACGGCTTTCCACTAGCGGAGCTCACATGTGGATGCCACGTGGGTTGAGGTCCAAGGCTCCAACAGAGCGAGGCTGCCACGTGGGAAATAACGAAAGGAACATGAAATCGGCAGGAATTGAGCCTGGCCCACCTGGCCATAAAAAGCCTGCGCCATCCATCAATAACCTTATTTACCGTCCTGGTATTTGCCAAAACCATATAAAAAACGAAAAGGCATATTCTTGTTCAACCACCACGTCACGAATTTTAGACAAATATTTTATACGGTACGTTTTAAGTGTGATTTGATGAAATGTTTTTGTAAATCTTTCAAAACCATCATCTAGCCCTCTTAAATATCATTTTTTCTGGATAATTGAAAACTTAAGAGTTCATGGTGAGATTGTGGATTTGTTGCCATGAGTAAATTTCATGGTGATAGTCATTCACTATGCCATGTTATTAATCTCTTCATGCTATCACATTGTGTGCAATTGTGCATGTATCAACATTATGTTTTAATTTTATAATATTATTCTTTATCATAACACATAAATAAATAATAGCACCTAATGGTGTAACAACTCAGAAAAGTCTTTTGCAAAAGAATATATTGACTTTAATTTACTTAATTGGTGGCAAAAATCTGCATAGTTCCACGTCAACGCTATTGAAGCCAATAGAACTTGTGTAATCTCCTCTATTGCGTCCTGAAACCCCCGTTCAGCACTCGTAAACACTGGCTTAGTGTAAAAGTCATAATTATAACAAAAATAATGTAAATCGCGTGATCTTGAGGAGTTTATTTGCTTTCAATTTTTTAAAATAGATTTTATTTTTAATTATTTTTGCTTTATCATAACAAAATTATATAGGGAAGTACAAAATATTGGCCGAATGGTATTGAATGTAGTAAATTAAATAGAAAGCTGTTCATTTATTGGACTTGGTAAGCTAGATAGGGACCTCTCATGAGATGAGAGGGTGGGAGGAGTTCTGCATGCAATTGCAAGTAGCTGCTGCTGCTGCTGCTGTTGGTAGCCTCTTGAGTGACACAGATTGCTGCAGGCAGCTCATCTCCCATTTTCATTTAACCCCAAATTGTATGGTCACTTTCCGCTATAAGTGGGGGTGGCAGTGGACCATAACATTTTTAATCTGCCGTCGTCACCTACAACCCTCACCCTCTCTCTCTCTCTCTCTCTCTCTCTCTCTCTCTCTCTCTCTCTCTCTCTCTCTCTCTCTCTCTCTCTCGTGTTCTAGAATGGTATAGAGAAGCTGATAGCCATTTTCAGAAGAAAAAAAAAAGATCTAAATTCAAAGGAGCTAACTTTGGTAGTCAAGGTTTCATACGACAAGTTGCAGCCAATAAAAACCAAGTAAAGCCAATCCTCCATCCTCATGTTACCTACCATACCAACATACGTGTGTGTATGTGTATATTCACTCACGTATATATATGAGCTCTTTTTTTAGGATAGATCTTCTTTCATGTAATGAGTTCATTACGTGTCAATTGGTTATTAGTCAAGTAATGCATTTTCCGAACAAGTGACCTATAAGGATCATATATACACTTGTGCTGTAGAGTCAAAGAAAAGACAAAATTACTGAATTTTGAACAATCACTAAATAATTATAAAACAGTGAATGCAAGAACATTATCTTAATCTCGTTTTCGCTCTGGTTGAGCAAAATCTCATGAGAAAACTAGTCTTATATATGATAATATTTATCTACTTGTCCACCGTCGATTATTGATCGTTATCATCATCAAAATGTTTCTTAACCGCTTTTCATATAAGATGATTGAGATGAGTTTTTATGATCTATCTATCTATCTAGAAAGTCTTGTTTTTGTTCTTCAGAGTCAATTAAATGTGGGCACATGAGAATTTGGTGACATGCATGCAAAAAGGTAACAGAATTTGCATACAGAATCAAAATCAAACTATAGGTTGCCCTAAAGTTGGACAGTTGGTCATATTAATCTTGCAAGCAGCTTCTATATATCATGATTCTTGCTGAATATACCAGAAGAAAGTCACAAACCATTTGGAAGCAGTCTATTACCACATGAGTATTTTTTGCCATTTGTAAGCGACTACAACTTATTGGGTCACCAACGTATTTCTTGTTGAACTTTTAAGCCTAAAAATGAAAATTAGATTAAAAATATTAGCGGAGATCGTTGGCTAGAACATTTCTAGAGTGTCCACGAATTTTACAAGGCCTATATTGAGGTAAAATATTTCACAAAAATAGGTTTGGTGGTGGTTTATAGTTTTTTCCAAAATATATTATAAATACAAAAATGCGAGATCACACATTTTATATGCAAAATTTATATTGTTTTTGTATTAAAAAAAAAAGTAATACAAATGCGATACACGAAAAATATGTTACAAGTCATTCTTGTAAAAGTTTGGGTTTCTCCTAACAAGCCGACGCCAATAAAACATGAGCTGCTTCTGGTTGGTGGCCCAATTATGTATTCCAAAGTAGCATAAACTTTACATCACAACCTATAAGCTATTGGGCTGAAAAAATGTTGTGCCCTCTTGGAGCAAACAACACGAATTCACAGAAGCCATGGCAGCTCAATCTTCAAAGCCTTTGAACCACTCGCTTATAGTTCTCGAAAGGACTCTAACGTCATTTAGCGAAAGCGTCTTAAGACTCCGAGCAATAGCATCTGCTGGAGTGTACGAGTAACCTGTTTGCCACCTGGGTTCCTGATCAGGCCAAAGAAAAAAAAAGAGAGGAGATGCATATTTCTTAACTTCTTATGACAATGCAGATCGTGTAATGCCGGAAGCCTGAAACGACTGTTGCTTAATAGCTTGCAGCGATATGGACATGAAGTCCCTATAAGATAAGGGGTTCACATTAGGATATGGATGAAGATACAAGTCAAATGTGATTCCTTGATCTGTTTTCCCGGGCTCTTTGCCTTGTTTTTGAGGTGTGGTAAGCAGTTCAATGATCACAATTGATTCACCATAAGCATGACGTAGATTTGAGGAAAGAAAAGATCTAGTTCCGCCAATACATTCCACACGAGGCTTTAACGTCTCTTCAAGCTGCATTTTCATTCATTGCATGATGATGCAGAATAGTGGGACATCATGCGTACCAGTAGCGTGTGTTTGACATTGTATGAGCTCTTCACAAAAATCACGGTTTTTAGAAGGGAACGATTTCTGCCAAGCCAACAAGATACCTCATTTAGAAGGGACGGCAACTGATCGACAAATTTAGACCGAACTTAAATAAATAAATTGATTGACTTGGTAATTGGAATCATCATATAAGCTGGATCAGAAGAGAGACAGTTTCACAAACCATCTGCATTTCTTGTTCATCATTTCCTTTTCCACTGTCAACCAATTTTTGAGGCAAATGGCTGACGGGATCATTTCCATGCTACTGGATCGGCTGGCTTCAACAACTTATGAGTAGGTGGACGGAGAGGAGAAACTTGTTTTGAACATCAATAAAGATATTGAAGAATTTGCTGGTAATCTCGAAGCTATTCAAGCCGTTCTCCAAGATGCAGAGCAAAGGCAATTCAAGGAGGCCAGCGTGAGGATCTGGTTGGATCAGCTCAAAGGCATATCCTTCCAGATGGTGGACGTGCTGGACAAGTGGAACACTGACATGCTGAGACAACTAGTTGAGAAGCAAGAACGAGAAGGTGAAAATGCTCTTGTTCCTAACAAGAAGAAGAAGGTAACTCTCTGTTTTCCCTAGCTGCTTTTGTTTCCACAAAGCCAAAGAGGTAATTTTTCTCCATGACATTGCGAGTAAGATAAAAGATTTGAACGATAAGTTAAGTGTGATTGATGAGCAAAGAAAAAGGTTTGAGTTTCAACACATAAAAAGAGGCATTCAAGAATTCCCTGAACGACAGAAGACTCCCATCTTTTGCCGTCATGTCAAAGGTATTTGGTCGAGAAAGGGAAAAAGACATTCTGATAACAAAGTTGTTGAGTGATCGGATTCGGAGGGGGCTCCCTATCATCCCTATTCTAGGGATGGGAGGAATGGGAAAGACAACCCTGGCCCAACTAGTTTATAATGATGGCAAGGTTAAAGCCTATTTTGAAAAGAGAATGTGGGTTTGTGTCTCAGACCCTTTTGATGAGGTTAAGATTGCCAAATCCATAAGCAGTGATGGTGCTCCAAGTTCAAATAAGTTGGACCGTGTCTTGCAGTGCATGTCAAGATCTTTCCAAGGAAAAAGGTTTCTCCTTGCCCTAGGGTCTAGATGATGTGCGGAGCTACAACAGTGAAAAGTGGGAACGATTAAGGGCACCATTAATCCAGAATGCTGCTCTTGGTGGTAGAATATTGGTGACCACAAGAAAGCATGAGGTTGTTGATATGATGAGAGCAACAAGTGACACGATTAATTTGGGAGAATTTGAGTGAAAAATATTGTTTGTCAATCTTCAATCACATGGCATTTTTTGATAGAGGAGTCTAAGGCATTTGAAGATATTAGTAATAAAATTGTAGAAAAATGTAAGGGTTTGCCTTTTGCTGCAAAAGTTATAGGCAATCTCATGCACAATAAGAGAACAAGAAGGGAATGGTTAGGTGTTTGAACAATAATATATGGGATCGAGAAGAGGTGGAGCAAAAAGTTTTCCAACCGCTATTACTAAGTTTTTATGATTTGGCGCCATCCATTAAATGTTGCCTTTTGTATTGTGCTAGTTTTTCTAAAGATTAAGAGTTTGAGAGAGAATGTTTGATTAATCTTTGGATGACACAAAATTATCTTAATGCAAAAGGGAATGAGGATGAGGGCGACACTGGTGATGCTATTTTTGATGACTTAGTAGCACAATCTTTTTTTCAAGATTTGAAGAAAGATAGCGTCAGTGGTAAAATTATAGGTTGCAAAATGCATGATATTGTCTATGACTTTGTGCAATCTCTCACCAAGAATGAATGTTCGATCATCGACGTTAAGGATATTGGCAATGAGATAGAGGTTTCGGGTGAAAAGATTCACCATTTGACCTTAAGGTTGAAACTTGGTGAGCCACTTCCACCTTCTAATGCATATTATAACTGCCAAAGTCTGCGTACACTCAGTATTCTTTGTTCATCGAGTCCTACGACAATAGACTTCAATTTCATTTTACAAATGAAATGTCTTAGCACGTTAAATTTGAGAAATAATGGCATAAGCAAAGTCCCAAGGGAAATTGGTGATTTGATACATTTGAGGCACATTGATTTGTCAAAGAATGGTGGTTTGAATATATTGCCGGACAATATCAGTAAGTTGTACAATTTGTATACCTTGCGCCTTTATGGTTGTTTTTCACTAGAAAGACTACCTAACAACATGAGAAAGTTGATTAGCTTAAAGCACCTTTATGTTAAGTATTGTCATAAGCTGAAGTACTTGCCAAAAGGGATTTTGAGATTAAAAACTTGAAAACTATTGATGAGTGTGTTTTGGTTTGTGGTGGTGATGATGATACAGCAACATTACGATTGGGAGATCTGAAATTCTTGAACCTCCAGGGCAGTCTCAGCGTAAGATTGAAGTGGAATGTGAAAGATGAGAGGGAGATTGAGAAAGCACAGTTGTGGGACATGAAGCAACTCTTTCATCTCGAAATTAATTGTGAGTATGATCGTTACAAGAAGACAACCAGCACTGTTGAGATACTGAATGTCTTATGACTGCACGAAAATCTGGAATCTTTATACATTTTTGGTCATTGAGGCAACACCTGCCCAAGTTGGATGATGTCTTTGCACAACTTAAGAACCATCTTTCTTTTGGGATGGAAGGAATGCAAGTTTTTGCCTCCTCTTGGGAAGTTGCCATACCTTGAAAACCTGACTCTATGGGGAATGGAGAAGGTGAAAAAGGTTGGTAGTGAATTTTTGGGAATAGTCGACGAAGAAGATGAAATGTCATTGAAATCATCATCATCCTCATTTTTCCTGAAGTTGAAAGAACTCAAAATCGCCTACATGCCGGCGTTGAAAGAGTGGGAAGTAGGCGTGGAAAGGTGGCACAAAGAGGATTCTGAAATTTCAATCATGCCATGCCTTTCCTCCTTAAATATCCATCACTGCGAAAGCTTAACAACACTGCCAGACTTCCTCTGCAAAACACCTCTGCAGGAGCTTACCATCTACAAATGTTCGACACTTTCAATGCGCTGTGAACAAGGCAGTGGAGAGGAGTGACCCAAGATTTCTCAAATCCCAAACATCAACATCTCATCCTGGTAATTGAGCTCTATCTTATTACACATTTATCTATGTATCAAATTCAAATGCTATCATCATATTTGTTTAATTTGCTTCTTTTCTTCTTCAGGATTCAAATGATCTTCAAAGGACATGAGCAATGTGGATCAAGTAGTGACTTGCAAGCTAGGAGTATAGAATAATCTTCTTTGGAAAGGTAATTCTCTTCTTTTATATATATCAAATTAGTAATGATTATTTAACTTTTTACACACATCTTGCTAATCTATGATGCGTTTTTTTTATAATTATTCATATGTACGTGCCACATTCAATAGTAAATTTCCACGGTGCAGGAATTCGCTAATCTTAGTTGCTCAAATTTTCGCACAGCAAACGAGAGACTAAATGGATGTGAGCCAAATTAAGGAGCGTCATCTTCAGATTTCTCGTAAGGTTTGTTGTTTGGCTTTAATCTACATATAAATTAGTTGTCTCGTAGAAAATTTAATTCTAAGACAATGTTTTAAAGATGTTGCTGAATCAAAATTCCATCTATTAATTTAGGAATTCTGCAGAAGCAAAAAGCGTGATGTTGACCATCAACATCCCCTACCGAAGTTTCAACTGAAATTTGATCAGCTTCACAATGCCATGAGAACTTGCAGGCATTGGAAAGTGATTCCTCAAAGCATTCCTCTGCTGAATCCTCATTGTTTGGACATGTGCTTAATGATCCTTCATGGCCTTTTTCCAACCGTTCAAATACAATAATGTGAATAGGGAAGCTAATTGTTAGCCCATTGTGAGATGTAGTTTACTCCCCCACCCTTAGTGTAGTAATATCGTTTGTTCAAAAAAGAATATCTCCTTGTGAAAGGTGTCATACTGTGTAAAGTTGATGTGTGGCGCTCTTCTCTCCTTTGATCAGGTTAAAATTCCCGACAAGGTTTTTACAGAACCCCTTTCAATGGTGCACCCTATTCTCTCTTGTATGTATTATTTCATAAAATCGTACTTCTTTCTAATAAAGGAAGAAAAATGGTGTACAGAAAAATATGAATGTTACTATTTAGACCAAGAATGGTGTATAGTATAGTTGGCCAGCGTGGAATAAAAGCCCTGAACCTGCAAAAATGGTTAGCTCTCTATCACCTATGGCCTTGTCTAAAGGTCTCTTTGCATACGAGACCGCGAAAATTTTCGAAACGGACACTCAAAACTCACAAAATCAAGTATTTCAAGGGAAATATAGCATCCAAGTCTTCATTTTCAAGCAAAAAACTCCACAAAATAGTCCTGACCGACGCACTTAAAACAGTATTCGTTGTCTGCACGCTTTTAGCTATTCTAGAAGCACTTAAAACAGGCTCATACCGCTTAATCTGATTCCGCCAAAGTTAAGAACGCAAATACCATGTGATTATAATACATTTATTTTCTAGGAGATAAACATAAACACGATCAGAATCGGTATCTGCAATGTGCTTCGTCATAATCTCGAAAGTCTGTTTCCCAAATGAAAATGCCATTACAGAAAAGGAAACCACACTCATAGACATGCTTAATGTAACGAACTGAATAAGAATTTATGAATGAAGCTGCAAATTTGACAAATTGTTGAAGATGTAAACATTAAACATACATATATTCACCACCACGAATCGCATTCGCAGCCCCTTTTCTGTCTTCTTCGGCTTCCTTCTCCCTCTCCTTCCAACTCTCGTACGCATGATCATCCGTCTGCAGCTCATGCCGGCATATCGGACAAGAATTGTGCTCATCCTGCCACAATCAATACCACCCAAAAACCCCAGTTGGTGAGTCACTCTAAAATCTAATTGAACGCAACCAATGAGACACAATAACAATATAGCAAATGTTCAGAAATTCGAGTTACCAGCCATGGCTTTAGGCAAGGAGGGTGGAAAGTGTGCTTGCAGGGCAACTCCTGCATCTTGTCATTGACAACCAAGTTCTCCTTACAAATGCAGCAGTCCGCGTCCTCTCCGAGCTTCTTCAACACTTCCTCCGTGATCGTGACTACCGGAAGATTGGCCACCACCTGTTTGCTCGCAGGCGGGACCCTTGGAGCCGCCCTCACGTCATCCAAAACCCCCGGCGGCAAAACGCTGTCGAGGTTGTCGATGAGTGACTGAAGCAGATTCACCGCGCTTTCCGAGTTCTCTTCGTTTCCGGGACCCGACTCAGAAGACGACCCCGCCGCCATGGCCGCCGTCAATAGATTCGACTGCACCAGCCACTGCGGCTGCGGCGGCTCCCGATCCACCGTCAAATGCCCCTCAAACAAATATCCTAAAAAACCAATATTTCAATTCCAATAGGAGAAAATAAATTTTGGGTTTTTGTGAATTTCCACCAAAATTCAAACAAATTTCCCAAATAATTACATAAAATTTTCAAAAAATCAATAAAAAGAACGAAGCGTTTCTGTAATTTTCAGAAAAGGGAAGATCTTTCATACCTTGATTTGGAGAAGACGACGGCTGCGGGGGGTCGTTTTCCTGATGAACGACCTGTCGTGCCTCATCGATGCAAGCGAGTAAGTGGGCCTTCTCGGAGGGGTCGGAGACGAGGGAATGGGCGAGCTGAAAGAGGGCGAGTCCGGCGGCCCAGAAACCCAGCGAGGTGTACCGGGTCTTCAACACCGTGGCGACTCGGCAAACGACGCCGTAGAACAGTTTCCGGAGCGAAGGAGAGGCGGAGGAGTAGTGGTCGCGGAGCAGCGAATTCAAGGCGGCGACGGCGTCTTCGAATTTCTGCTTCCTCGAAACGTCCTTGTGGAGCTCCTCCAATCGCTGCTCCAATTTCTTTTCGTCTTTGAAACTGAACTCCATTTTTCGGATTCGGGTTGAATAGATTTGTATCGTATCGGATTTGTATCGGTTTTTTTTTTTTCTGCGTTTTTGGGTTTCGGATTAGTTATATTTCTGGAGTTTGGCTTGGCGAGGAGGTCACCGTGGGAGACGAAGGAGGGAACGGATCGTCTGCGCGCCGGCTCATACATTACCTGTTTCCCACTGTCTTTCCACGTCACCGCGTTCCCACGCCTTCTCGTTACTTCACGAACGACACCAGTATTAACGTCGTTTGTTTTACATTTGGTTGCTTGCCTGAGTTGCCTGGTGGGTTGGATAAGTAGTGGGGTAGGGTTCATCCAATCCCATGTTTGACGCTCGAAAATTAATATGAAGCAAAAGATTACCAAAGAGTTGGGATAGGTAGCAAGATGTTTGTAGTTTAGGTGGTTAAGAGTATTACACATATCTACGTTAGACAGATTTGGTTGCTCTCGTTTAATCTATATATAAAAAAAGTTAAGATACTTAATATCACTATTGTAATTTGCTTGAGGCATACCAATGATCGTGGACCCAAGATCCGAACCTAAGACATCGACGTTAGTGAGGTAGACTTTTCCTTCTTAATCCATTCTTATGAGCTTAATACATTCCTACTTGCTTAATCAAATCCAATCCTAGTAGCCAAACATAACCCATATAACACAAGACAAAATACATTATTTAAAGAAGTCCTCATACTTCTCCCACCCACCATGTTGATATCCGTCATTTAAATTGAATAAATCAAAGAAAAATCAAGAAACGACCTGCGAAAGTAGAAAAGGGTGAGCATAATCATTTGCCTTATTTAACAAAGAGAGAAAATCCACCAGAACATGAAGAGTTACAAAGCCAATATACATTGTGCTACCTCATCAATCTAAAATAATTTCCAGTGTAAAATAAAATCAAAGCCAATTTTCCATTTGGCTCTAAAAAATGCAAATACAGAAAATACAATGCAAGACAAATGCTAAAACAATAAGAAGCAAAAAATAAATAAATCCAAGAACACAATTTGCAAATCACACAGAAGCCTCGATCCTTGGCTCAAATGAGAAGGCAGACAAGAACTTGATGGATTCACCATCCACAAAACATTTGGGCAATTCAATCCAATCATTGGCAGCCAAATCACACAGAACACACCTCGAAATCTCGGCAGAGCTTAAGCAGATCAGTATCTGGTTACCGGCACCAACACAGTTTATGTCCACATTCTTGCCATACCACTCGTGTGACATCGCTGGAGGCATTGCTGCGATGTGTTGCCATGATCGAGCTTCCTCATCGTAGCACCACACCCTGAGGTTCGCGCTTTCAAAGAATTCTGAGAGAAGAACCACCAGCATTCTGCCTCCGCATTCTACCAAGTCGATGGAGTACTCGAAGAAGACAGGGAGTAGCCTGGGGTACTCGGAGAAGCACTTGGTGGTCAGGTTGCAGGCCACAACTGAGCCTGATGAGCTGAGGAAATAGACTGTCTCCTCGCCCTTTTTGGAAGTGATTACGGATGAGTATTGCTTGGATGGGCTTCTTTGCATGTTGGTTGCCACTACATTTCCAGCCCTGCTAAGGAAGTAAACAGCACTGTCATCGGTTGAGTCAGATTCTGTAGAATCATCATCCTCGAAGTTTTTACGCAAGGCAGTCTCTTCTTCCCAACAGGCAGTGCTTGAGTTATACACTCGGAAGGACAAATTTGGAAGCTCGCCAAAGACAACAACAAGCTTGTAAGATGATTGATCATACTTGGGACTTGAGCTCATCACAATGGCATGGAATGTGAGATTTTGTAAGGATGGATCCAGCGGAGGGTGTTCATTGCAAACCCCTGTCACAGGGTTGGATACAATGAAGTTGCCCTGTGAATTGCGGAAACAGATCAAGCCACCAGAAGCTGAAACAGGCATGGAATTGCAGTTGGATTTTGTCTGGAGGAGAGGCGGATGATTGAGTTTCTTCCAGCTTCTTTCAGCGGAGTCAAAGACAATTGACCGGTTAAGAAGGGGATCGACCATGAAAAACCAAGGATCCCGAGAAGGAATCTGAGAGCAGGCAAGCTTGAAACTGGGAGAATATGCAACTGATTTCCATCTTTTGCATACCGAAGTAAGGCGGAAGAATGCAGATGTTGGTAGCCTCGAAAGTACCCTTTCAAGAAGGTCTTCGTTAACCTCATCCATATAAAATGTGTTTGAAATGCCATCATCTTGTTCTTGGGATTTTCTCTTCCGATTCATCTTAAAAGCTGGGGAATTGTTGTGCTCCATCAACTAGAAATTAGTAATAAGACAACTGTAGTAACAAAAAAGGGAAGGAGGCGTTACTTGTGAATTTATATCAAAGCTCGGAACAAATACATGAGGAATGTGATGGGAATCTAGCTATCAAATACTCATCAAAAGACGCTGGTACTTCAAACATCTACGAAAAATGTTGTTCTTAACTGTTTTAGGATTCGTTTGGGACTAAATTTGAAGGAAGCAGTCTAACAAGTACTTCTGCTAGACGGTTTATAAACATGTCGGAATTTTTATCAAAAGTTCTGAAGAAGGTGTTTCTACGGACCAAAAGCACTTTTGGTTTTTAGAAACCACCTTTAGCCATCCCAGCCGCTATCCCTCCGTTTCTATTTCCTATCTGCTGGTTATGTTGTTGATCAAACAATTCGTATAGCAACGAAGAAGTTGAAAAACAATCCAATCCATCGAGTAAAGATTCTGACTTTCTTTCGACATTATAAACAAAAATGCGAGGATAGAAATCACAGTTCAGTCGAAAGCACTGACAAATAAGCATTGAGGAAAAGGTATGAACTGAGATTGTTGAAGCTAAAAAAGGATTGAAATTTGAAACCACCCATAAGAAAATGCATAATTTGGGACTCAAAAAAACCAGAATTTGGAAACGTAGTCAAAATTTTCAGACCCAAAAGATGAAATTGGACCGTTGGTATGTCCAGAAGCAACAGATCTCGCCACAAAGTCATAAAATTTGCCCAAATCACAGTAGAAGAATCGTTGGACTTGGAGTTAGTAGAAACAACGTTGTACCCATCAATCAAAATGTCACATTTAGACAGATTAACAGCAAAAATCCAATAAAATTGAGGCAGAAAAATGAACAACAAGAAGACAAAAGAGAAGATGAACACAGAAAGAAAATGTACCTTCCCCTGCTGCGGCTGCTTCAGCGGCGGTGCTGCTGCTTCAAAGGTGGTGCTGCCGTGAGCTCTGAATGGAAGACAGTGAGAGCGACGGAGTGAGGTTGGTGGGTCTTTGTCCTCGTCTTTAAATTGGGCAGTGTTTGGGAGAAAAGAGAAAGGGAAAGAAAGGAAGGAGAAAAATAGCTATGGAGGAAGGAAGGTGGGAAGCTTCGTGGGAAGCTCCTTTTGTAGGGGTTGACGACCAAAAACACACACAAACACACGAGGGGTTGGTTGGTGGTTAATTTTTCTTTCTTTTCAACCCAATATGTATAAAACGAGAGAGAGAGAGAGAGAGAGAATAAATATTCAGTGAGAAAGTAGAGAGAGTAGTCGACTCCCTGCTCTCACAGCTCTTGGCTTTGGATTCCCGAGCCCCAAACAAAAATGGCTGCACTTGAGAGTAGATTTGGTATTGACCACAAAACAAGGGAAAAGGATCCTTTTTTAGGGAATCCGAGAAATTCCGTGATTATGTTCGTTCATCGTACATCGTGGGTAAAAAATCGTTTAAAATTTAAAAATATATATAAATAGTATTTAAAGAAAACTGACCACATAACGTACGATGAACGAATATGATCACGGAATCCTTTGGATCCTCAGGAAAATGATCGAGAATCCTTTTCCCAAAACAAACATACCTATGCCTAAGAATTATATGAAGATGTTCCAAGTAAATCACGGGGTACACGTAGCGGTTTTTAATTAGTTTGATAAGTTGAGATATAAGCACGATGACATTTTAGGTATATATAATGTATAACAATTCGTGATTGACTTAAAATATAAGTAACTCTTTATGGTGACAAGAAACGTATCAATGTGTGATTTCCTTATAGACAGTCAAAAATGTTCTTTTGATGTTGTCCCACGTTAGTCAAGCATTGGTATACACCAACGATGAAGCTAGGAAATTACATAGGGGGTTGACTGAACTATTTATATGGAGTGAAATTTAGATGTTGACTTGAGAATAGGCTAAATTTATGTTCTGGATTTTTCCATAACATGCTTTTTTAACACCAAATTTTTTTATCTTTCTCCGTCGTTGATATATGCAAAGCAATACTGAATACACTTTAAATTGGTCGTCTGTTTTTTTAATATTTTAGACACAAAAGAAAGAAAAAGAGCATCCAAGCATGGTTGCAAAGAAAGACAACGACACGGTTGGGAAATACAATATATGCCAAGAATAATATTACGACATTGTCAAAGGCTCAAACTGCCTAAAGAGTTTGGCTTTGTCATTTTTCTGCTGCTGCTGCTGGAAGCTGACTTTTGCAGTTTGCAAAAGCAAAAGCAGTAACTTTAGTGATGCTTTTGGCTTCTGCATTTGCCTCGTTGCGGAATCTTGCTGCTCGTGAGCCTTCAAAGTCAATGGCCAGACCACATTCTTCGAGTCCCAGAAGCAAGCATTTTTCCAAACTAGAAATCAAGGAATAAAAGACAAAGCAAGAGAGAGAGAGAGAGAGAAAGCCGCTGATTACGTTCTTTTTTTCACTTTTTTATCCACACTCTCTCTCTCTCTCTCTCTCTCAAATCCGTCCGAAGTCCAAGGCCTTCGAGGCCGGCTGCCATGGCAGAGATCTCGATGCATTCAATCACTTCACACCAAGCTCGGGTCTCCAAGTTGGCGTCGTTCTTTCACTGTTTTGGTAAATTCAAGTTGGCATCTTCAATGAACTTACTTAATATTCTAAAGAAACGATCTTATAGCACGTTCACGAGATTGTTTTAACAACAACAAAACGCTTGTGGGACAGGTCAATCACTTGCCAGTTGCTTCAAGACACAAAACACGTATTCTCAAATAACATCGTTTTTAACAAAAGCGCTTAGGACAAGAAATTTTTTATTATGATAAGAATACAGATAGTACATCATTCGTTTAACTTTTTAACACATATTTTATTATTTGTATAATGACATATGATATACCACCTCGTGTGCCAATCAAATTGAAAAAATCTCTCCTTATTGACATGGTAAGTACTGGTTTGGTACTGACGTGCTTTTATAGAAAGTGGATATAAAAAAAACTAAGCTCAAAAAGTTATTTGATAAACACTTAAAAACAGCTTATTTTCACAATTTTAGGTGAAAAAAAAAAGCTGAAAACGTGAAGCAACAAAAATAATTTTATTCTCACATCACAGCAAAAACAATTTTTTTTCAAAGCACAGAATGAGCTAAAATTCAAAACTGTAAGACGGCATTTTGCAAGATTCGTGGTTCTTGAATAATAAATATTAACTGAAAAATAAGGATACAAAGAAAAGAACTAATCTTTCAGCTCTTCTTATGAATTTATGCTTCCGACTACATTCTGTCACCTTAAATTACTAATGACTCTCCCAACTAAAATGTTAATCGGAGGTCTCTGCAAATAATGAAACCCCGGACCAAAATTCCCAGCCTCGATCTTTTTCCTTATGGCGACGATGAGGGGATCTAAAGAATTATGAACAAAATAATAATTGCTAAGAAATCCACCTTCGATTATTTAGCCGTCATCTACTTCTATTATGTGGATTCCGTTCCCATTCAGAATACCAGAATTCACAACCGGGTAATCAGTTCCATTTGCATGAGTCGTCGGCCCATTGCTCCGGTAAATTTCAATGTCCTCTGCAGGGGATGAACTTGACTCACAATGACCGATATCCATATCTTGGGAATCGCCATTTTCAGCTTCACGACCTGAAGAAGAGAGATCCTTCACGCAGCGCGCTGATACATCGTCCAGAACAGGCCAACATGACTCACCATTAGACAAATCGATACCAGCTGGAGCTGGAGTTGAATCACCTCTTACAGTATCCAAATCCAATTCACCAGCAGGGTCCTTCTCGCAGATAGAAATCTCCCTTGAAACAGATGGACTAGATGGGGAATTAACAGTACCATTTTCAACCATGCAAACCTCTTTTGAAACAGTTGGAAGTAATTTAAGCTTGAGATCCGCACTATCAGAATGTTCAATTGTAACCTCACCATTGATTACAGCAGCCGAGTCTGTTACACAGCTTGGAATCTGTGGTGGCAAACTTGTGTCAGATGGCACAGACCCAGAATTGTGTGTAGGATCTGCAGACTCAGCGACGGAACATTTATGTTGTTTCTTTTGGCAAGGCTCTACTTCACCATTCATCATTTCCTCCTTTTTCTTTGGAGGTTCGGTCCTTAGGCATGATGCTCGTGGCTGCACCCTGTGCAGAAACAGGAAACAAAAATTATTTTAGAGTATCTCACATAATGCTTCTCGCCCAAAATAAAATGTGCAAACCAGTTTGAACTAGGGTCCAGTCACACACATTGCATTCGTCTAAGCCACTATATACAATTTAATTTAGAAACTTGAGAATGACACGTAAGAGTACACACATATACGCACCTGCTATATAATAGCATATATGCTCCCTGGGAAAGTACCTCTTCCAAATTTACAGTCCCAACCTGTGAAAATGGCAAAATAAGTCGGAGAAGAAATTAGTTGCTTGGTTACAATGTGCATATTAAATAGAATTAGCAGAACCATTTTAAAAGTCTGCACTAGGGAAGGCCATAACTATGAGAGGGAGAGAGATATTCTCACCTTACAGTCGTCGATTTTGTACCAGTTTCCGCTGAAATCCTTGGTATAACAGATATAGTGTCCAAAATATGAAGCATTTAGCATATCGATATGGACCACAACGGCATAAAGCTTATAGATATTTGTACCGTCTCCCACTTCACTCATGTAGGGGTTAAGATCTAATGTTTCAGGAAATGTTACTCTCTTGTTAATTTTCCCAAACCGCCCACTCTGAAAAGTTTTGCCAACATAACAATTTCAGGAATCGTCAGAGTAACGATAGATAAGTACAACTTCATTATCAATTACGTGAAATATAATATCAAATATATGAGTGTGTGTACATACATTTTCAAGAAGGAATCTGACAAGGTCCCAAAAACAGTTAGTGAACCAACTTAAAGATGATGTGTTATTAGTCACTAAAGATACAGTAATCCAGCATAAATAAGAATCTGTAAATAACTCAAAGAATTTCTAGATATGTACACAACGTAATTCCAACTGAAAACACCTAGCATCTAACGAGTTGGAAGAAAAGGTTTTCCTTATTGTGATATAAGAACTCTTGATAACAATTCTAATTTACAGATGGATCCACTTTAACTGTAACATGAGCACCAGTTAACAAAGCAACATGTAAAAAGAGTATAGTTGAAACCTGAAATCTCTTCAAGGCAATTGTGAGTATGTTTGGAGCCCGTTTAACAGTAAGACGTTTCCAAGCCTTGACATAGTCATTGCACCTGTTAACAGAAACAATGTATCTCAAACCTCATAGGAGACCATACAACAGAGAAGAAACTACACAATCCAGAACTGAAAAAGACAACAAATATAATAAATGGAATTGAAAAAAGAAAAAGTAGAGATCGTACCCATCGCATTTATACATATTATCGCCATGAAGCCACTCCTTGATGGTGAATTGATCAAGACACTCCTCCAATGATGAAGCATCCCCATGAATCTCAACAGTTAAATCCATCATATTTTCGTATTGATTTGATATATTCTCGCATTTTGTACAAATCACCTGAAAAATATTCCAAAACGAGAAAATGCATTAGAAGGGAACTGATGGGGAAAATAAGAATGGTATTAAACATCTTTTACCAAAAAAAATAAGTAAAAAATTCATACCAGCTAATTGGCTCAGTTGTTCAATGAAGGAAAGAATAACTTAAACAAAACTCAATAGACTCGCTATTGAAAGCCCCAAAAGGGATGTAAAATTCCAAAACAGGCATATGCCATAGCCAAAGTTTGAAGGTTAGGCATGTTGAAAATATTCCAAGTAACGACACCAGAACCAAAAAGGTAAAGCTCTACAACTTATCTAGATATAGAATACAAAACTGTTATGACATTCCATTTAACATATGTAATTTGACATGATTGTAAGCATCAGTCTAGCTGGCCACAAAAATTAAGAAATAATTGATGTCAGAACTGAATTTACACTTCACCATTAACATGCATAACCTGAGATTGTAGCTGGCCACCAAATATATGTTGAATTAACGTTGTCTCTTGAGAGCTTGGAGTCACAGCTTTCTCTCCACCAAACTCGTCAAGACAGACAGACTGCATTGTATCAATGGCAAACCTACAAAACAATAAAATTCAACAACCATCATATACCACAAGAATTCAAAAAGATAGTTAACAATGTATTCAATAGAACACCCAGTAGATAAATACAGAAACTAGATCAAGTGCATGTAAAGAAACCTCAT